CCTGCATGGCCCCATGGGAGTCTGACAACCAATCAGAATACAAGCTAAAGATCAAAGGCCAGAATGGGCACAAAAGCAGAGACTCAGCACCTCAGCCCTTCCTTCTCTTCTCCACCAACATTGAAGCATGTTATCCCCCTTTTCTGTTCAGGACTCAAGCCATGTCGTCCTGTCCACCATTAAACCATCTTTCCAAGCAGCCTCCATGTCTCCAGTGTCTTTTTCCCCACTTGGAGCCAAACCCAGAAGGACATTTCTTCCAACAGTCTTATGAGCAGGAGTCCCCGGGTTCATTGTTTGTAATTTTAAAAATACTAAATAGCCTGGATTGCACACTAGCTAAACTCAATTTGGCCTCACTAAAATAAGACCTAGGGCAGGTTCAAGAACCATCCCTTCAAAATAGACAGCCTGTAACTTAAAGGAAAAACATGGCTGTGAAGAATTTTGGGACTTCTGCTTGCTTGAAACCTGTCTGGAAGCTCACAGAAAGTGATATCTGATATTAATTGGCACGGAAAAGTGGATACTGTTTATTTTTTTTCCAGAAACTGTGCCCTGGCTGCTAGACCTTCATGGTTGAAACCTCTCTGGGAGCCCTGAAGAGATCCTTCTACTGTCTCTCAATGACTTTCCATCAGAAAAAAAAATACACTCACATGTTTTGGGGGAAAAAAGGAGGGATTGTAGGAAGTTATCACCCAGCCCTCTCCCAGAAAAATGAAATATCCTAGGAAATATTGAAATGGCAGAGTATTATATTTCCCTGGATGTACAAAGGAAGAAACATTTCCAAACCTGAAGGGAGGGTGAGAGGCGAAGGGGCCAATCAGCATAGAGTTCCTTCCCTTCCAAACCCAACAACATGAGCTGTCCACTCAATGGGGCTGCCTACTCTGGGGGAGTTGTGGGGTGGTATCCTAGAAGCTGCAGTGGCCAGTTTTGGAAGCTCTTCATGTAAACTATTTGAATGAAGGCACTTGCCCAGAGTTATGTCGGGGGACCCAATTTAGACAAGGCCATTGTTGATTGGATTGCATCGTGTCAATCTTGCCAAGAGTCAAGGGAAGCCCCTCCCCCCTCCCAACCTGCTCCAGCATGTGAGACTACTCCTCGGAGGTCCCTAGAGACCCAACCAGCCAGCTCCAGTCATTCTCACCGGGCAATAGCAATAGCAGTAGACTTATATACCGCTTCATAGGGCTTTCAGCCCTCTCTAAGCGGTTTACAAAGTCAGCATATCGCCCCCAACAACAATCCGGGTCCTCATTTTACCCACCTCGGAAGGATGGAAGGCTGACAGTTACTGCTATTGAGCAAGGTAACCTATTAATACGTCCTTGACTTATGACTGTAATTGAGCCTGGAATTAAGATTGGAATCATCATGTCACCTGATCTTATAATCTATTTTGGAGTGGTCATTAAGTGAACACCATGATTGTTCAATGAACATTGCGGTCATTGAGTGAATCTATTTTATCCAATTGTTATCTTTAGTGGGAAATCAGAAGTAAATACAGGAAACTGGCAAAAAAAGGCCCCAAAACCTGGGCATATGACTGTGGGATATTGCAAACGCCCATAAAGTGGCCCAGTCTATATTGCCTTGGTAAGACCCCAGTTGAAATGGTGGCCATCCAGTTTTGGTCACCACAACATAAAAAAGAGACTGAGATTCTAGAAATAGAGTATAGAGAAGAGCAACTATAATGTTGCAGAAAACGACAGGCTTTAGACTTCTCAGGATACAGGAAAAGTTTATTTGGCAGCCAGGTTCAGAAAGCTAGCCCATGGCTAGCATTGCAAGTTCTGAACAGCCTTCATTATCGAAGCACGCGTTCTTATACATTCTCAAAAGGCAGAATAACACGGAGACACTTAACTCATTTCTTAGTGGTTACCTTGAGGAGAAAGCCTTATAAGGAGACGGGGTCTTACTTCTTCTGTTATGGAGTACGTGTCATTAACAAACTTTAATTGAACCTTGGACTTTTGACATAGGTTTTGACATAGGTTTTGACATAGGTTTTGACATAGG